ATAAATATATAATATTATAAGATTTATATTTATTATTAATTTTTACTTTAGCTTCTAAAATGCTCAAATAAATCTTTAGATTCTTGAATGCTTAATGAGAAATCTTTAGGTTCTTTAATGTTCAATCTAAAAATAAATAAATAAAATTATAAGATTTACATTTATTATTAATTTTTTTTTTACTTTAGCTTCTAAAATGCTCAAATAAATCTTTAGATTCTAGAATGCTTAATGAGAAATCTTTAGGTTCTTTAATGTTCAATCTAAAAATAAATATATAAAATTATAAGATTTATATTTATTATTAATTTTTACTTTAGCTTCTTGAATGCTCAAATAAATCTTAGCTTCTTTTATTTTCTAAAATAAAATAAAAATTATAGTGTAAAATATATTAATATGAACCTGTATTTATTTTTTAAAATGGAGTTTTCCGGTATCTTTCAGAATATTAATAAATAGATCGATCTGTGGGAGTTAGGTAGTGTTAACCATCACCCAATATTATATTAATCATAACTATAATATAATATAATCTTATAACCAATAACTCATAACGTAAAATATTTTATAAAAAATATTAAGGCCCGGCCCGGCTTTAACAATTTTAGGCCCGGCCCGGATATATTTAAAAAAAAATTTTAGGCCCAGCCCGGATATGTTTAAAAAAATTTTTTTTAGGGTCTGCCCAAGTATATTTAAAAAATTTAAAATACGGCCCGGGCCTGGCTTAGGGCCGGCCTTGCAGGTCTCAGAATATAAATTATTTAGCGAAAGTAAGATGTGTACTCAGCAACAAAGGACATATTGGAATATTTTTCCGGCCATAATCAGATTATTTCAGAGAACTGCAAGCCCAGCTCCTAAGCCTGGCCCGGGCCGTATTTTAAATTTTTTAAATACCCGGGCTGGGCCTAAAATCTTTTTTAAAATATATCCGGGCCGGGTCTAAGATTGTTAAACCCGGGCCGAGCCTTAATATTTTTTATAAAAAATTTCACATTATGAGTTATTGGTTATAAGATTATATTATATTATAGTTATGATTAATATAATATTGGGTGATGGGTAACACTACCTAACACCCACAGATCGATCTAATTAATAATTTCCTGAAAGATACCGGAAAACTCCATTTTAAAAAATAAATACAGGTTCATATTAATATATTTTACACTATAATTTTTATTTTATTTTAGAAAATAAAAGAAGCTAAAGATTTATTTGAGCATTCAAGAAGCTAAAGTAAAAATTAATAATAAATATAAATCTTATAATTTTATATATTTATTTTTAGATTGAACATTAAAGAACCTAAAGATTTCTCATTAAGCATTCAAGAATCTAAAGATTTATTTGAGCATTTTAGAAGCTAAAGTAAAAAAAAATTAATAATAAATGTAAATCTTATAATTTTATTTATTTATTTTTAGATTGAACATTAAAGAACATAAAGATTTCTCATTAAGCATTCAAGAATCTAAAGATTTATTTGAGCATTTTAGAAGCTAAAGTAAAAATTAATAATAAATATAAATCTTATAATATTATATATTTATTTTTAGATTGAACATTAAAGAACCTAAAGATTTCTCATTAAGCATTCAAGAATCTAAAGATTTATTTGAGTATTTTAGAAGCTAAAGTAAAAATTAATAATAAATGTAAATCTTATAATTTTATATATTTATTTTTAGATTGAACATTAAAGAACCTAAAGATTTCTCATTAGGCATTCAAGAATCTAAAGATTTATTTGAGCATTTTAGAAGCTAAAGTAAAAATTAATAATAAATATAAATCTTATAATTCATATCTAAATTTTTAGAATATTTACCAAAACAATCAATAAAAGGAATATCATGGCACAAAATACTAATGATATAATTAACAAAATTAAAAATAATATTTATTCTTTTAAAAATACAAATAATACTTTAAAATCTGAAATATGGGCTAAATTTAACATCATCATAGATGAAAATAAAAAAAATATTGGCTATGTGCAATGCATAAATTGTTCAAATTTATTATAGTATAATTATAACCATGGTACATCACATTTAAAAAGACATAAATGTGATGGTAAATCCAAGAAAATTAATAAAAAAAAATTTACACCTGAAAAACCCACCTATAAATGTAATATGAAATATTTAAAAGAAAAATTTATAGATCATTCCTTAACACTTTGCGCAAAAGATATTAGACCTTTCGAAATGATAGCTGGGAATGGGTTTCTTGAATTCAGCCAGGCTCTAGTCGATGTTGGGGCAACGTATGGTAAAATAGATATCAACTCATTGATTTCACATCCCACCACTCTTTCACGCCACCTTAAAGAAAAATGTAATAAAATAAGAAGCATTTTGGTTGATACTATTGCCCCAGTAATCAAGAATCGATTTATGGCTGCTTCCACTGATATATGGTGAGATGACCATAAAAAGAACTCGTTTATAACAGTTAACATGCACTATATATCAGATGACTGGAAGTTAGTGAAGATAAACCTATTTAACGCTAAATTTAAAGAAGTGTCTAAGACTAGCCAAGTAGTTAAGGATGAACTATTAAAAAATTTCATAATTTTAGTTTTAACACTAACGATTTTATTAATATAATATTTGTTACAGACCAAGGTAAAAATATTATAAAAGCATTGGAGTTAAATGAACGATTAAATTGTTCTTGTCATATATTAAATACAATTTTAAGAAATTCATTTAACTTCAAATATTTGGAAAGTAATGCCCCATTAATAAAATCAACAATAGATAATACTAAAATATTAGTGGGCCAATTTAAAACAAAGTAATAAATGCCAGCATTTAAAAGCCCTTTATCAAGATATAGAAGTCCGCTGGACTCTATACAATATGCTCAATTCTGTTTATTCTCAAAATGAAGAAATTATAAAAGTTCTTCTAGAACATGGGGGATCGGAAAAGTATTATATTATAGACTTTCCGATCCTTCAGGATCTAGTCAACATTCTTGAGAATTTTAACAGAGCTATTGTTGAGTTACAGTCGGACTCTTGAACTCTATTTAAAGTGGTAATTTGGTATTATGAACTTCTTGAAGTTTGTAATACCTTTCAAAGCGAAAAAGGAGAAATAAAATTGATTTTACTTAATATAAGGCATTTTTAATTGAAAAATTTGTTTTACACAAGTATCATTTTATTTCTCCTTTTCTCTGTCCCAAATTCAAGCAATTACGTATGTTGTCATGGACAGATCGCAAGATGACGGAAAACTAAATAAAAGATTATATTAAATTACAAGAGGCTCAGGAAGTTAATGAAATACCATCGACCAGTCAAATTACGACTGTTGTTAAACAAACTGAATCGTTTTATGACAAATGGGGCGATGGTAATTCTGGTAGTATGTCAATACCCGATGATGAATATTATAATTATATATAAAAAAATAGATGAAACATATAAGGTGGATAATTTGTTAGAGTGGTGGGCTTCTCATCAAAGCGAATTTCCAATTTTGGCAAAATTGGCAAAACGGGTATTGGCTATTCCTGCTTCAAGTGCAAGCTGTGAGCGGAATTTGTCCACTACTGGAAGAATTCTTGAAGAAAGAAGAAGAATCTTCAACCTGAAAAGGTAGATATGCTTCTCTTTCTTCATGATAATTTGTGAATTTTTAATATCTTTCTTGAGTATAGGGTTTCGTCAATCATGCTGGTTTTTTACTTTGCAAACTGTCAAATATTTATTGCATTTATTTTACCTTGAGTCATGAAAGTTTTTAATCCAACATTTTTTATTATTTTTTTTTACAATATATTATATAATACAATTATCTTCTTTTGTTAAAAATTTATATTATAAAATAAATTATATTAATTTAATATTGTGCAATTAGATTATATTTTCAAAATACTATTTATTATACATGTATTTTTTTAAATAGCGATTTATTTTTATTTTATAAATTAAATAGTAAAATATTTTCCATATTTTTATAAATTAAATATTAGTTTTATTTTTTTTAAATGCAATATAAAATATAGTATATGCTCAAAATATTATTACCATTTTTATGAATATTAGTTTTATTTTTATAAATGCAATATAAAATATAGTATATGCTCAAAATATCCATTTTTATAAATAACAGTTATATAATTTTTATAAATTCAATATAATATTCTCAAAATATTAGCTTTTACATGTATTTTTTAAATAAAAATTAAAATATCACAAATACAATCTTTTATATTCAAAAATATTATTTGCACAAATTTTTTATAGTATCAATTTGTAATTAAATATCTGAATAAAATATGGAATATACTTATATCCGGGCCGTAAAAATTTTTTTTAAAAAATATCCAGGCCGGGCCTTAAATTTTTAAATCCAGACCGGGCCGTGCCGTAAAAAATTTTTTTTAAAAAATATCCGGGCCGGGCCTAAAAATTTTAAAACCGGGCCGGGCCGTGCAAATAGTGCCTCTGCAGGTCTCTGATTTATATTGTTATGGGGGGAAAAAATAACAAGACTTTTTTTTATTATCTATTGTAATTTTCATTCAATATTATTATTCTACTTTATATGGACTAATTTGCCAAATATTATAATGTTCTATCTCTTTTAAATCATTAATTAGAATAATCTCTGGGATTTGGACAAATATTAGAAATTTTTATTTCATTTAACTTTAAAAATATATGCTTATATATATTTTTTTTCAAATCATAACTTCGGCCCGGGGACCAAAGGGAAGGAGTTTTCTACCATCAAATAACTTTTTTATGATATTTTCGTTATTTGATTTAACCCAGACACGTCTGGACATATATTTTGCAACTAAAATTTAAATTAGGTATTACACAATATTATTATGGAATTAAAATATTATTTGAAGATTATAGATTTTCATTTTTTCGTTCTCTTACATTATTGTTGTTTCATTACCATCTTTAAAACTAAAATTAAATTTTTCCATAATTATATTTAAAAAAAATTATATGTCAGATTCTATTCGCCAAAGGAGTTCAACATTCTTTATCACTTTTAAATTCTCTAGGATACGACGTTATAAGCTTGGATTGGACTTTAGATCCAGAGGAAGCCAAGTAAAATAATTTATTCAAAAAACATATTTGTCATTAATTGATAAAGTATGAAGAAAAAGTTTGCATATCTAATTTTAATACCCCCCTCCCTTGTTTCTTAAAAAAAACTAGCAACATTATAAACTCTGACAATTTATAATTTGCACAGGAAAATATTAGGGCCCAATATAGTTCTTCAAGGCAATTTGGATCCCAGCGCATTATTTAGCTCCAAAGTAATTTTATTTTTTTTAAAAGATATTTATATAAAATGAAATTGTAATAAATGTAATATTTTTTTTCTATGCAAGAATACAAAAATGAAAATAAGAAACAAGAAAAATATATCTTAAAATAGGATAGAACTAGATTAAAAAAAGGAAGAATATTTTTTATACTTTTGTGAGCGATTAGAATTTTAAATTTAGATATCGCATAATGAAAGCCTATTTAAACTTTTTTAGTTATATTATGTTCTTTTTCAAAAACATGACATCTTATGTGACTAAAAAAGGTACAAATATATAAATTGAGTGTGATTAAAGGCTTATACTCTATAAATATTTCATGATAAAAAAATTTTTTAAATACAATTTGAGTATAAATAGATAATGTTCACGTTGATTTTCTAGTCTTAATATTGTTTTTTTATTATTATTATGCAAATTGTATGGTGTAATAAAGTTGTTTAAAATAAAGTAAAATATGAATTTAATGGAATTGAGACGACAATACTTATGTTATACTCAATATATGTATATTATATTATTTTTATTACACAGGAAGCTCTCCAGAACCTGACCACTGACATGATTTCTCGATTCGGAACTAAAGGTTACATAGCTAACCTGGGACATGGTATATATCCAGAAACACCTATCGAAAATGTTTCTTACTTTATCGAGGCAGTTCATTCTTACCCGACTAATCTATAAATTAACTATGCTCGTCTCCTTTTTTTACAAATATTTTATTTCTCTTTTTCATTTATTTTATAAAGATTTTGCACATATTATTTGTAAGATAGTTATCGTAAAATATTTTATTTCTGACATCTGGTGTCTTAATCCCCATCATTAATCCACTTAACCCTGCATATAATATATTCTTCAGATATTTTATAATCATCTTTCATTAATTTTCTTTAGGAATTATTTTCCAGACTTTTTTTATAATATCAAACAAAACTTCATAATGATGATGCGTTACACATTTATATTATGTAATCATATTTTTTTTTTTAAAAAATAATAATATTTGCAAGGATTTAATATATTAGGAAATTATTCCTTAGTATGTATATAATTTCTAATGTAATAAAATGCACAATTTTTTTTAAAATATATAAATTTGCCTATAATAATTAGGATACAGATTATTTTCTAATCATTTATATAAATTTTGATAAATCGGTTTATCCTTAACGCTTCAAGAACAGATTAATACTATTACAACACATTAGATAATTACATTGTGTTATGCGAAACCGGTCCCTAAACAGGAAAACGAAAGTGAAATAGGGTTTGATATCATATGATAATTAGGGTCTGGGAATTTTGTCAAAATGATAACAGGTAATTTCTTGAGGTATGTCGAACCTGACTCAATATTTACAAACATAAAAATAATAAAATCATTAATTTATAATGCACCAAATACTTGAATTTTAAAATCGGAAGGGGGAGGGGGTCGTATAATAGAAGAATATATCTAATGATGTTCTGCAAAGCTGCCCGTTAAAAATTTTGCATAAATTTCCCTGCTCGCTATAACTTGGAACCGTCAGGCCCGTTAGAATTTACGAAAAGTCAACATTCTCTTTAAATTTTTTGTCAAATTTTTCGGGAATCACATTTTTAAAATCTAGCTAATTTTTTGCATTATGAATATCTCTTGCCTATCTATTTCTACAACAACTCTTTTTATAAATCAATTGTGTTAGTTATCTGTTTCTAAATTGTGTATCTGGATCATTTCATAAATAACTTATTTAATTTTTTTGTGAATTTACTATATTATTTATAGATTTAGTATTTTAGTTCGACAGCACAATACAAAAAAAATTAGCATTTTGTAATTTATTTCCAATTAATATAATAAAAAATCAAAATATTCGCATGAAATTCAAAAAAAAATATCAAAATTTTAATGCCAGAGCAGGCCTATTAAAAATTTACAGAAAATCAGGGGTTTGTGCCTTGCCTTCTCTAATCTTTTATGTTTAAATTGTTTAGTCCAGCCCAAAAAATTTTATGTACAAATTGCCTAGCCCTTTAAATTTTTGCTTGGACTACGGACTAGGCTTTGCAGATCTCTGATACCTACTAAAGATCAGCATCAAGCCAATCTCTTAAATTTTTAAAGGTTCTCACCCAGGATCCTTAAAAAAATAATTAATTTGTATCTATGCAAAATTTTATAAGATAATCAGCGGCACACTGATCTTCTGCTGCCTTCAACACAACATAAATCTGTGCAGTGGCATAAATTTTGTAAAATATAAATAGAATAACTACTGAAATATTGCTATTTAGATCTTCATTGAAAACACGAATTATAAAATAGAGTTATTAAAATCAAATTTTGCTTGTAAATATTCTAAAATTGTCTTAATAAAAATATCTGCTTCATTTAAAAGTGTATTAATTAGAGTATTATTTGAATTAATATAATATTTTTAGCAATGGCGCCATAAAATTTATTATCAATTTTAACTGTAGAGATGGACAGAGCTGTAGCATGATTTTGTGAATCTTTTTTAATAAGAATATTCTGATTGCAACTGAATATTAACTTCATGAAGTAGATTTACTACATGTGAAACTGTTATATATTCAAATTTGTACTGTTATTTCATTTTTACTTTTTGACTTACAATTCAATTTATTCAAATTATATTTTTATTTTAGTTATAATTATTTTATAACGTAACCTTTTTAATATTATATTATAATTTTAATTTGTAAAAATGTTATATATACCTTATGAAAAAGAGAAAAAAGAAAAAAAGATACTAATAAAATATATTTTTTATACTCTCCTTAAAATTGTTTTTCTCTTCATGGTGCCCCGTTGGCAAAAAAGACTCGCCACCACGTAAATTTTTTTTAAAAATTTTTTTTTCCTCTATGAAATATAAATATGAGGAACAAAAAAAATTATAAAACGGAACAAATAAATTCTATATAAAGAAGGAAAAAAAGGTAAAAATCATTTTAAAGTTATTTCTATTATGTTTTCATTCAAACTCATTAATATTCCCTGGAAAATTTCTATTTATGATATACTGTTTGAGTTAACTTACAATTGAGATGTAAATTATTCAAGAATACTTGGTAGTGATGACGTCATTTTTGAATTTGTG